TCGCCCAGCGAACGTCGGGCCCGGGCCGATGTCAGTGAATCGATCCGAAACGAATTGAATCGGGATCGCGGGCTCAGCCTGCGAGTCGAATTGCATCGAATCGAATCTTAGGCGGCCCTAGCGTCCTCAAGATGGCTCGCATGAGCCCCAACTATACCCCAGATTGCGCCCGAGATGGCTCAGCGTGGGAAAGGCAGGGCGCTTGCGGCAAAAGGCGCGTAGCCATTCAAATCATGCAGTGGAGCACAATTCTGCTGTGCGAGCTCCTGCGGCCACGCCGACCTCCACCGAGGTCATCAATACCACTCCGTGTGCTCGAAATCTGAATAAATGGAAACTGGACGAGACCGAGAGCCATGGGCGCCGGATCCCTGCCAGGAGTGGCCTATAATCTTGACTTGAATCGAGTGACGCAATCGAGTGACGCCTTGAGCCAGTACGATGACACAGAGAAGAAGGAGCAGACGGACGAGGACAGCGACGACGAGGATAAGGAGTAGCCCGATTGGAGGAAGCACAAGTGGTTGTGGCTGGCACAGCTGCCCGATTGGAGGGAACGCTGTAGGCCGACGGCTGTAGGCCGACGGTTTGCTGTTCCCTGCACCAGTTCCAGTTTCCAGTTTCCACTGTAACAGTTATGCTTCTTGCTGCTTACTGTTCCTTGTTGATGGACCGCTCGAGGGGGGGGGAGCCGAGAAGGAACCCAGTTAGCACGCCCGAATCGCGTGCTCTGGATTCCTGGGGGGGGCATGGGACACACAGAAAGACATGGAATTCGCGCACCCGAGGCCATAAACCCTTGCAAGTTACACAATATTCGTGTCCCCGAGGCCACAAAAAAGTGAATTTGTCCATATTCGCGTCCACGAAACCATAAACCCTCACAAAATACACCGTGTTCGTGTCCCCGAAGGCATAGTATACAATACTTGCGTCGCCGAGGCCACAAACGCTGGTTAATCACGCGATAGTCGCGTCGCCGAAGCCATAAAACAAGTAAATGACATAATGTTCGCGTCTCCGAAGCAGTAAACCTGCGTGAATGACGCAACATTTGCGACCCCGAAGCCACACACCCTCGGAAACCATGATCCCTCGCAAATGACGCAAGATTCGCGTCTCCGAAGCCATAAACCTGCGTAAATGACGCAACAGTTGCGACCCCGAAGCCATAAACCTTCGTAAATCCCACCAGCCCTCTGGACGTCGGTGGTTTAGTGAGTTTCCTCTTCCACCCCTCCTTCTTCCCCTTCGGGGAAGTGTTTACCCCTCCCTCTACCCCCTCCCCATGGACCTGGACGGGAGATTTCGCGAGTCGTCGGAGCGTCCAAAACGGCCTCGGCAAGGAAGCCAAAACCATTGATTTTGCTAGTGTTTTGGCCCCACGTTGGCCTCCTGAGGGGGGGGACCTAATTAGTACCCCCCCCTCCTGTGATCGATCTCACCCAGGATGGCCCAAAGATGGCCCCCAAGGCTCCCAAGGGTGCCCCAAGAGGGCCCCAAGAGGTGAGCCCCAAGAGGCCCCCAGGATGCCCCCAAGAGGCTCCCAAGAGACCCCCGAGAGGCCCCCGAGAGGCCCCAAGAGACCCCCCAGAGGCACCCCGTCGGCAGGGTAGCGAACAAAGCGTTGCCGCTGACGCAACCGTCGCATCGTCATCTCGGCCCTGAAATCCGTGATCCTGAGAGCTTTTAGGACATGGCGTTCGGGCATGAATCTAAATTTCGGGCTGGCCCCTGGGTTCTGAGGATGGAACTCCAGTCGACGGTCACGCAGGACAACGCGCGCGAAATTGAGCACGACCGCGCCGAGCCTCATTAAATCGAGCTTCCCAGGGAGGTATGTCTTCAACATCGAGTGGGCCGTGCTAAGTATGATGCCCAAGAGCGCCATCTTTTTGAGTCTGATCGAATGCGTAGTGTCCCAGAAGCGTCCCAACCTCCTCCACGTCACCCCCGTCGCCTCCGCCCTCCTCCTGATCTCAGCTCCACATCCTCCGGATATCTGCTCCATTCCCCCCAGATGCAGCGACTCCGCGAATGCCGCGCCAGGAGAGTGAACCCTTTGGGAAAGCAACGTCCGAGTAGCTGCGTAGGCCCCTGGGCCCACCATCACTGGCACGCACACCTCCGTATCGGGTTTGCTGGCGGAACTTCCCTGGTCCCTGAATTCTCGATCGAGGACGGCGTTAGAGGCAAGCGCTCTAGTCCCGGCCTCCCGCGGATTCGGAATGGAGGGCGGCAGCGCCTGATGGGAATCGCCGGCGTAGTCTGGCATCGAAACATCGCGCGTCTCATCCGTCAACGGGCGCGCCGCGACGTTGGCAGCCCGCGCGAACGGGGCGGGGGCAGGCAGTCGACCGTCGTGACATATGGCCGCGTCATCAAGCAACTTCTCACTCCAGGCCTCGACGGGCCTCAAGAAACTGCGCGCGAACTCTTCACGTGCGTTCCCATCCCCCACCCCAGCCACATGGGCAGGTTGAAAGTATCCCACCTGTTCCCCCGCCCCAATCTCCATCGCCGCCTCAGCGTGGCGCTGGCGCAGGAACGCACGGTCCTGTGACTGCGAAATGATGGCCCGCGCCGTTTCCTGCAGCGTTTCGTGCCAGGTCGAAGGAACGGCGTTAGACATGTGCTCCGTTATCAATAGTTCTGAAATGCCGACACTTCTTAAGCCTCCAGCTGTGTAGGTTGGCGACCATCTGGGCATTCTGCCTAGACCGATGTGAAGCATGCACATGAGCATGGAGAGGGAGAGGAATTCGACGACGACGAACGAACATCCATCGATATCATGCTTTCGTGAAAAGGACACTAGCAGTGGATCCATATCATCGCTTTCGTGCCCTTCTTGGAGTTCCCTTCGACAGCTGAAAAGTCCCACTCCAGTCCAGTGCCGCTGGCTAGGCTTTCGGGTCTTCGCTCGGATCTGGCGGAGGATGCGCCGCAGGCGATCAGCGAAATCAACGCACCCAATATGCCGTGTCAAACGAGCGCGCGCCTGCGCGCGATCAGAAAGATGCTCCAACGAGAGGTGGGAGGGAAGGGGGAGAACCAGAAGGGAGAGGTGGGGACGGAGGAGGGAGAGGAGGGAGGAGGGAAGAGGAGGAGGAAAAGCAAGAGGAAAGGCGGCGGAGGAGGAGAAAGGAGTCCGCCATACCCTCTGCGGGGACACAAAATGCCATAGGCGAAGCAAGTAGTTACCCTTTGCCACCCAGCCCCGACCCCCGCCCCAAGTCCGCCGGCCAATCGATTCCTCCAACGGAATGCGCCAGTTGAAATTACATGTACCCCCTCACCGTCCTCCTATGTCTCCGCCCCGTCTTCACCATCCTTCCACTGACCAGTGTCCTGCCCCGGCTCCCTCCTTTCCCGCCTCCCGCACATCCTCCTCCGCACCCTTCTGTCCCTCGGTTCTCATGTTTCAAAGCACTCACGTCATCCTCTTCCTGACCCTCCCGCTCTTCCCCCTCGAACCACTTTTCCTTTTCCGCATCTCGCTCATTCGTATGCTAGTGCTCAACATCCTCATCCTCATCATTCTCCTTTTCCTGCTCACCCCCTTCTGCCGCGTGATCTTACACCCGAGAGCCGCAAAATCACCTTCACCTCAACCTCCCCATGCCTATCCTCCTCCTGCAGCCACTCCTCCCCACTCCTCCGCGTACTCCTCCTTCTCCTCCAACTGCTCGGCCCATTCATCATACTGCTGAATACCCCCACCCAAGTTTCCCCCTGCTCGTTCTCGCCCTCCTCATCCTGCTTCGCATCTTGTTCCTCATGTTGCCCCACCGCTTCCTCCACGTCCTTCCCCCTGTCCCTCCATGGCACCTTCCTCGTCCTCGTCGTCATCGTCTTCAGGGTCGGCGCCACTGGCCGTAAGACATGCGCGATACCTGATGACTTCTGGACAAGAACTCGAGCCTCAGGCGGCCACTCGGGAGGAGGCCGGCACCCCCGAATCGCCCGTGACGAGGCCCAGCTGGTGGGAGGCCCCGCCGTGGCGCTGAGAGCCGACTACCACTGCTTCAGCTCGCCCTCCTCTGGGACGACGAGGCGCAGCTGATGGAAGCCATCCCGGGTTCCGACATCCTCCGAGTCGTCCTTCCAGAAGCCCCGCCGCGGCCCAGAACCCCACCGGGAGGGCGTGGAGATGGATACGTCCGTCGAGCCCAAGACTCCTCCGACTCGTCCTCCCTCAGCGAGAGGCCCCCACAGGGCCCCAAAGCACTGGCACCATCCCCCGGAACCACAATTGTCTCGACTGACGGATGCAATCCGAGGCCCCGCAATCCTCCGATTCGTCCTGCCGCCGCCTTCTGAGAAGGCTTGCCCCTCTCGGACGCCTGCTGCTATTTTGGTTCATAGCTCGGCTCTCCCGTGGCCGTTCGGGACGATCAGGGTACCCCCGGACCGCTCTCGGCGAGGCGCACCCGCTGGAACGCACCCCGATGCTGAAAAGCTGCCAAGAACCACCGAAACCTCCCGAAAACCTCAAACCGCGAACCCGAACCTCTCACACACCCCTGGGCTCGCCGCCGAGATTCCTCCTCCCCCTCGCCATCTCTCGAACGTCTACTCCCCGTGCACCCCGGACGTCCTTTCCCCGTGCACCCCGGACGTCCTTTCCCCGTGCAGGATGATCCCGGATGCTTCTCGATGGCCCTGGCCGACACTGCTTCTTGTTTGCGCCGCCTTCCAGCCGGCCGAAAAAGAAGCAGTGGTTGTGGTCATTTCCCTGGTGCCAAGCTCAACGAAAATGACCACAACCACTGCTCTGTTTCTGCTGGCTGGAAGGCGGCAACCAAAGAAAAGCACTGGCTGTGGTCGTTGCCCCGTCCCGTGGAAGTTGAAGAGGCCCACGCGAGATTCAAGCACGAGGGGCGGAGTCAATGGGCATCGACGATAAAAAAAAGCACACGCCCGAGCGATGCCGAGCCCCACCCGCGGGAGGCCCGCGCCCGCGGGGAGGCCTGGCGCCGGCGCGCCGCCGAGGCCGCCCGCCGCCTCCGCGCAGGCCGCGAGCCCGCCTCCCCGAGCGCGGCGGGCGTCCGCGCAGCCCGCCGGAGCCGAGGCCGCCGACGACGACGACGACGACGACGACGCCGACGCTGAAGACGACGCCGACGACGACGACGACGCCGACGCCGACGCCGACGACGACGCCGACGACGAAGACGACGACACTGACGACGACAACGACGACGACGACGACGCCGACGTCGACCAGAGGTGGTGATGGTGATGGTGGTGCTGATCGCGGTGGTGCTGACGGCGGTGGTGATGATGGTGACGATGATGACGCGGGTGATGACGATGGTGGTAGTGATGGTGGTCAGCAGCATCTCCGGCACCATCATCAACACAGTCGTCCAGCATCATCATCATCGTCATAGTCTCAATCCCAACCATTATCAGCGGCAGCGTCAGCATTATCATCAACACCACTATCATATGAATCATCGCCGTCAGCTTCATCACCACCAGCATCAGCAACATCGTCAGCATCATCATGAACAGCAACATCAACATCCGCACCAGCATCATCATAATCGCACATAATCGGATCAGCATCACTATCATCACAACCACCTCCACCTTCAAAATTCGCCGGCCCAACGGGCCAGGGCGTGCTAAGATCTCCGGTAACTGGTTAACAGTATTAACAGTATTTCTAGTTCGCGCGCGCGGGGCGGCCCCTGGGGGTCCCCCGGCGAAAAGTACCCCGACCAACGCCCGACCGCCGCCCGACCAAGTCTACTCAGAGATGGTTTTCCTTCTGGGTGCGGCCTCTCAGGCTCCCCAGAGCGCGCTCAGAGTGCCCCAAGAGGCCCCCAAGACTGCCCAAGAGGCCCCCGAGACGCCCAAAGAGCGCTCGAAGACGCCGAAGATGACCCCAAGACGGCCCAAAAGGCCCCCAAGACAGCCCAAGAGGCCTCCAAGACGCCCCAAGAGCCTTCCAAGAGGCCTCCGAAGAGAGCCCCAAGAGGCCAAAATCGTTGATTTTCATTGGTTTTTTCGATGTTTTTTGTGTTCTGGCTTTTTCGGCTTCCGGACGCTCCAAGACGGCCCAAGAGGCCCCCAAGACCGCTCCAAGACGGCCCACGAAGCTCCCAAGACGGCGCCGAAACGACCCAAGAGAGCCCTCAAGACGGCCCAAGTGCCGCCCAAGACGGACCAAGAGGCCCCAAGACGGGCCCAAGAGGGACTCAGGAGGGATACCGAGAACTCAAAAATGGAGCCCTCCGTCCCAGAAGGCGCCCAGGAGGTCCCAAAGAGGCCCCAAGAGGCCTCCAAGAGGCCCCAAGATGTCGCCAAGAGGCCCCAGGAGACTCCCAGGAGGCCCAAAAGAAGCCCCAGAAGGCTTCAAACATGTCTCCCAGGCGCCCCCGAACGGCCTCTCAACAGACCCCAAGAGGCCCCCCAAAGAAGCATCTTGACGACGACTCCATTTCGCCCCATCGAGAGACGACCCCCAGGGAACTGCTTCACCATCAAAACTCCCCACGCAACGCGTCCGAACGACACCCGCCCCCATGGGCAACGAACACACAGACAAAAACCAGCGATGCCATATCACGGGCCGGCGGAATGAGCGAAGCGATTCAATAAGAATAAGATACTAAGAATCAGCATCGTCATCATCATCATCATCATCATCATCATCATCAGCATCACCACCGCCATCACCATCACCATCACCATCAGCATCATCATCATCATCATCGTCGTCATCATCGTCAGCATCATCGTCAGTATCATCGTGACCATTACAATCCGCACCAGCATCATCACCATGATAACCCTCCTCACCACCACCACCATCGACATTATCACAATCATCACAATCGACATGTCATCACCGCCATCATCACCAGCACCATCATCCCTACCATTATCATTATGTTCCAGACCATCACCTATAACTAGCATCTGCATCATCATCATCAGCATCACCATCACCATCATCATCATCACCAGTATCCTCCTCCTCATCATCATCTTAAGCAGCATCACCACCATCACCATCATCAGCATCACTATCCTCGTCAACATCCTTATCACCATCGCCATCAACATCATAATAATCATCACCATCACCATCACCATCACCACCACCACCACCATCACCATCACCATCACCAGCATCATCATCATCAGCATCATCATCAGCATCATCATCATCATCATCATCATCATACTCATCATCATCATCATCATCATCATCATCATCATCACCACCATCATCCTCATCCTCATCACCATCACCATCACTATCACCATCACCATCACCATCACCATCACCATCATCACCACCATCACGATCATATAATTGCTCCTTCGATGCGCTGGCTCGCCGCCGAAACGCTGCCGAGCCGCCGCCTGCCGAGCTCGGGGCGCCATTCGGCCGCCCGCCGTGGCCGCTCCGCCCGTCGATGCGTCGCCCTCGAGCGCTCGTCAGCGGGGGGGGAGACAAACGCGAGCCAAGGCGAAACCAGGACGAGGATTATCAGGGGGCAAACAAACCTACCTCGTTTTTGACCGCCCTCGCTTCCAGGAGATACCAATCGATGCCAGACCACGGCCTGTCCTGGTCAGGCCGCTTGACGAGGAGGCGCGTGGTATGACTTGGTTTTGCTTGGAAGCGAAAGCGGGGTAGGTAATTCACGCTCGGAATTATGCTGCCCCCATCGTACTTACGAACCGCATCCCAGACAGAATTTCGGGCATCCCGAAAGAGTATCGGAACAGTGTCGGACAAGTATCGCCTCCCAGGGCCCGACAAATGAAAACCCTTCAGTTTCGGTACTTTCTTGGTGCTCAAAATTCTTTCTGGCGGTCAAGGCGATTGGAACATCATAGGACGAGGATAACATCGGGTGAGGACCCCTACCTGCCAGTCGGAAGAAGTGGGCAGAAACATGAAGTAGGAAAGCGTTGGAAGTAGATTGGGTTTCCGCCCGCCCCCTGAAGAGGAGGGAAAAGAAAATCCACTCGACCCTTGAAGTAACGAGGGATCTGCGTCCAACGACCGGCGTGTATCGTTGCCCCTTGCCGAAAGGTGTCCACACACAGGCCGAAACCAGCTGCACGCAGCGACTCCAGCACCCCCCTGACCCCAGACGGGCGACGATGTTTTTGCTGTCCCAGCATCCAAGTAAGACGAAGCAAGGACGAGGATAAATGAACTGTAGTCGCCCCCACGTCCGGGGTCAGGCTGGTCCCGTTGGTCCGGTCCGGTTGGTTCGGTCCGCCTGGTCCAGTTGGTCACCCTAAAGGTCTCGCTGGGCCTACCGGCAACTGGGGGGAGGACGAAAAGAAGGAGGGGGAGGAGGATCAGGAGGGCGGAGGAGGCAGAGGTGGGGGTAGGAGGACGACGACCAATGCAAACCCAAGACTCGTCAACGATGATGGACTAGATCTTCCCTCCAAGCTCCCTATTCATAGGCCCCTGCGAAGATTGATTTCCACTGACGGAAGTGCCCCGTTGGATAACAACCGCTTGAAAATTCCGAAGCGTGCCAAAACACCATTCTCGGGATTTCGACGCAACGAATCAACCTGACTGTTACGTCTTGGCGATCCTGAATCGTGAGAACACCATTCCTGGAGATCAACATCGCGAATCAGCCTAACTCCTCCCCCAAATACTTGGAATGATTGCGCGCGGCGCTAAGGCGAGAGCCACATGTTGAAAAGGAACCGCCCTGAATTAGCTAAACTCTTACTTATGCTTAACAGGAATGTGCGCCGCGCTGAAGAGAGAAACACATTTTTAAAACGACCCGCCCTCAATCCGCGAAGGTCTTGCAAGTCCCACCAGCCCTTTGGGCGTGAGTGGTTTAGCGAGCTCTCTCTGTTCTCAACCCCCCATCTTCCCCTTCGGGGAGGGGTTTACCCCTCCCCCTACCCCCTCCCCCTGGACCTGGACAGGGAGTCCGGGGTGGCAGGGGGGTCTTTTTCGACTCCTGGGAGGGCCAAAAAACGACGACCCTCACGAGGATTCTGGCCCCGACGGGGGGGCAGAAATCATTGATTTTACTGCGGTTTTGGCCCCATTTTGGCGTCCTGAGGGGGCCGCGCTCCTCTTCCCTCATAGCAAAATCATTCATATTACGAAGGTATTGGGCTCAATTTGTTCTTTTCAGGGGGCAGCTCTCCTTTGCGCTTCTGCGGAGGTCGCAAGAGGCCCCAAGATGGCCCCAAGAGGCTTCCAGGAGGCTCCCAAGAGGCCTCCCAGAGGCCCCCCAGAGGCCCCCAAGCGGCCCCAAGAGGCCCCCAAGAGGCCCCCAAGAGGCTCCCAAGAGGCCTCAAGAGGCCCCAAGAGGCCCCCAAGAGGCTCCCCAGAGGCCCCCAAGAGGCCCCCAAGAGGCCCCAAGAGGCTCCAAGAGGCCCCCACGAGGCCCCACGAGGAGCCCGAACGACTCACACCCGGACGAGGGGCCCGAACGACTCACACCACGAAGAGCCCGAACGACTCACACCAGGAGGAGGGGCCCGAACGACTCACACCAGAACGAGGCGCCCGAACGACTCACACCACGAGGAGCCCGAACGACTCACACCAGAACGAGGGCCCCGAACGACTCACACCACGAGGAACCCGAACGACTCACACCAGGAGGAAGAGCCCGAACGACTCACACCAGGACGAAGGGTCCGAACAACTCACACCACGAGAAGCCCGAACGACTCACGCCAGGACGAAGAGCCCGAACGACTCAAACCACGACGAAGAGCCCGAACGACTCACACCAGGAAGAAGGGCCCGAACGACTCACACCAGGACGAGAGGCCCGGATATATGCGGGGGCAGGCGGAAACACGCCTGAAAAACACGACTGTCGGCATGCTTCGCAAGAGTTGCTGTTTTGAGATGGGCTGGTGGGGATACGCGAAGCGTGAAGAATTTGGAGAAAGGAAAAAGAACTATTTGCAGCGCTGAGGTGAGAGCCGCATTTGAAAACCACCCGCCCTCCATCTGGGAAACCCTTGCCGATTCTGAAGCTTCAGGATCAGAAGTGGAAAGGAGGTCTCAGGCGAAACGCCTGGCCCGCCCTTCCGACGGGCCTCGGGGTGCGACAGGGACTGGCCATCGCTCGGACGTCCATTTCCTGTGTTTTTTTCGGTTTCGTGCGTGGTTTTTCGCCAAATGATCGAGGATGCTCCTCGATGGTCCTCGCCGAAGGAAAAATGCACACGTCCGAGCGATGCCAAGGGGAGGACGAGGAGGAGGGGGTGGGTCGGCGGGGCTGAGATGCCATGCCCCTCTGGGGATGGGGATCAGCCGAGCGGTGCTGCCCGCACGGCGCTGGACCCCCCCCCTCTGGCGCGCGGAGCGCGCCACGCTTCCCCGAAAGTCCATGCTTGTGCAATGGTGTTCCTCTTCGACCCCCATGGAGATCGATGCCAACCGCCCCGGAGCCACAATGCGCCCGCACCCCCCTGCCCGACCCAAAACCCCGACACCCGCCGCTGAGATCCTCGTCGATCCCCTGCCCCAGAGGCCTCGCGATCGGAGCCCCGAGGCGGATCGGTGCGCGAGGGCCCCCGCGGCACGAGACCGGGAAGACCGCTCTGCTCGGCAAAGCTGCGACGCCGGGACCTCCAAGGAGCGCGGGGGCCGACTTCGGGGAGCACGAAATCGGGACATCGACATCGGATCGCCCCAGAGGATTATTTGTGTTTGTTGATCGGCGGCGAGCGAGGGGGGAAGTGAGACTCAGAAGGTTCAGAGGTCCCCCGGCCTCCTTAGACTTTCCTGAGCTCTCCCCGAAGACACAAGAAACTTTTCAGAAGGCGCAAGGGCTCCTGAGAAGTCCCGCCATCGGCGGTGGACAAACCTCCCTTTCGTAAACCTCCCCTTAATGAAAACGGCCTGGGACCGAAACCGGCGGACCTGGACCCGCAAAGATGACGGCCGCGACGCCCTCTCGCGAACCAGACACGGCCAATTCCTGAATCGACGTGTGTCAGGGTAGGAGGCCTGTCCACCCCCGACGCCACCTTCTGAGAAGGCCTTCTCCTTTTCAGTTCCCCCCCTCGCTCGCCGCCGAGTGTTTGTGGAATTTCGCCCTGGAAGTCTCGACCCCTTCCCCGGAGGCGGCGCTCGTCCCGGATATCCGTTCCTGATGGCCCCAGGGTCAGGTCGGGCCTGTCCCCCTACAGGGGGATTTTGGCCAGAAACTAAAAAGACTCAAAAAATACCCCCCGAATGATCAAACATTGCCGACACATCGTCAAAACGAATCAAAACGTAATCCAAAAATAAACAAAACATACCCCCCCATAGTCCCCAGACTATGTTTTGCCCATGTTTGATTATTTTGTTTTCTCATCGCATCGCCTCGACAGCGCCACAGGCTGTCTGAACTATCACGGGGCGTCGTCACGCCTCGTGGCGCGCGGCTGGACGCCGCAAAGGGCCTAAACATAGATTGCCTCAAGGCAAAAGTGCACAAGGATGAGGAGAACCCAAGCAGCGACCTATTCTAAAAAATGTTAGAATAGGTCGCACGAGCAGCCCCCAGAGGAGGGACAGGCCCGACTCAACCCCAGGGCCCGACCCCGGGCCCCGAGGGCCGAAGCCGAGGAACCCTGCCCGCTGCCGAGGAAAGCCACAAAAAGAAACATCGTCTCGAGGCGCATCGGCACCCTCCCTCTCCCCCCCCCTCTCTGCTCCCCCTCCTCCTGCCCTCCTCTGCCTCCTTCTCCTCCTCCTGCTTCCCCTCCACTTCCTCCTCCCCCCTCCCTCCCTCCCTCGTCCGCCTCCTCCGCCCTTCCTCCACCTCCCGCTCCTCCTCCTCCCCCCACCCCTCGTTTTCGTCTTCGTCGTTCTCAGAGTCGGCGGCACCAGCCTGAGGTCTTCGCAATCGGTTCGATACGCATCGGCACCCCTGGAGATCTGCTCGCAACGACCTGGAGGGGAGCAGGACGGGGCCTCCGCGTCCTTCTAACGGGGACTCCACCAGCGGGCACTTTGGCCAGCAACCCAGCGAACCCAATCCTCCCCGGTGTGGGCCACGCTGCAGTGCCACAGAGAGGCCCTAAAGCGGCAACGTTCGGCAACGTTCCAAAGTACCCGTCAGTGAGTACCCGTTACGGCGCCGCTGAGGGCCAGGACGAAGAACGCCCCCGGAGCGTTCCAGAACGCTCTCGCAGCGTTCTGGAACGCTCTGCGGCGCCCGAGGCTTTCTCCAGAGCCCCCGGATCTAAGACATTCTTGATTCACCCTCACCCGAATTGATCCTCGTCCTGACCTCCGGACCCCTGGAAATCAGGCGATGACACGAATCACATGGTCGTGACGGTGCTTGTTGTCGTGGATGAGCTCGTGATCGTCGACGTGATGCTGAGGCTCGTGGCCGTCCCCGTGGTAATCGAGACCATTGATGCCGGCGTGGTGCGCATGAAGCTTGTGGCGGGCTCTGTGATTGCTCAGACCCCCCCCACGGCTCGACTCGCATCGGCACCCCTGGAGGTCTGCTCGAGTCGCCACAGCAGGGGAGCCCGCGGCCCGCCGCAGCCGAGCCCGCGCAGCGCCCGCGCGTAGCGCGCCCAGCACTCCGCGCCGCCCGGCCGCAGCAGCAGCGAGGCGGCGGCGTCGCAGAGGGCCTCGGGGGGGGGAGAGGGGAAGGGGGGAGAGAGGAGGAGGAGGAGGAGGAGGAGGAGGAGGAGGAGGAGGAGGAGGAGGAGGAGGAGGAGGAGGAGGAGGAGGAGGGGGAGGAGGAGGAGGAGGAGAAGGAGGAGGGGGAGGGGGAGAAGGGGGAAGGTATGAGGCATGAGGAGGGTACAACCCAGACCCCCGACGTCATGATTTGCTCGTGGCGTCGACCCCCAGAGGTCTCGACCCATTCCCTGGCACGAGTGTTTCATCCCGAGTCGATTTCTGACGGTCCCGAGGCCTGTCAAGGGGCCCCCAGAAGCCGAAAATATTAAAGAAAACGCCCGTTTTGATTTTTCACGACTCGAGGGAATCTGCGAAGGAAGGCGAGAGCAGGAGAGGCGTGGAGGGAGTACTCTGTCGAAAATCCATTCCCAAATAATCCTTGGAAATCATCTCCTCCTGGGCAACCAGGACAACCCATGCTGATGAATGACGAATGGACGACCTACCCTCGACAACCCTTGGACAACCCAGCGGGGATCTGGACAACCCCTCCGGACAACCCCCCCTCGGACAAGCCTCCCCGGGTTCCTCTTCCATAAGATAAACTAGGCGGGAGGGAAAAGGGACGCACTCGGTGGTTCAAAGATGGGGTCCTGAGGGATGGGGGCCCAAGGATAGGAAGGGATTCAAGAGTGGATTCACGTTGCCTGAGGCACCTCGTCATTAGAACCCCATCCCCGAGGACCCCACCATTGAACCGCCGGCCTTCGACATTCGGCCTCCGCTTAGGTCGACCATGTCCCCCTACAGGTGGATTGTTCGACGAATAATTTAAAAAATATTCCAAAAATACATCAAAAGGTAAAAAGATACCAAGAAACAATCCCCAGACTATTTGTGGATTATGTTTGTACTATTTCTGGGGTATTTTTCATTTTTCGTCGAAAATCCCCCTGTAGGGGGACAGGCCCGACCTAAGCCTCCGCGCGTCCTCGGCGCTGTCGCCGCCGCCGAGAGCCCCGGCGGCCCTTGGCGGCGGCCCTCGGCGGCGGCCCTCGGCAACCCTTGTGGGCGGCCCTCCTCCTCCTCCTCCTCCTCCTTCTCCTTTTCCTCCTTCTCGTCCTCCTCGTCTTCGCAGTCCTCCATCTCCTCCTCCTCATCTTCCTCCTCCTCCTCCTCCTCCTCATCCCCCTCCTGCTCCTGCTCCTCCTCCTGCTCCTCCTCTTCCTCCTCCTACTCCGACGACGACGGCTCCTCCTACATCCTCCCCCTCTTGGGGTATATGGCGGCTCACCCCGCCCTTTGTTCGTCTGCATGCTCCCCCGCTTCCCTCATAACCTCCACACCCCTGGGACTCATTTCTGGACGGGCTGGTAGGGATACGCGAAGCGTCTAGAATTCGCTAAAGACCAACGTCCCACAAAGACTCCAGAACAATCAGAAACTGGAAAAGACACGTCCTTAGCTGCCCCGATACGCAGCACGCAACACGTAGCTTATTGATACGGAGCTCCGCAATTCGACTGAAAACGTAGGTATGACGCGATGCGTTCGTCAAAACGTGGGCCAACACGTTGAGCCAACACGCAACGTATCGACACGGACGTTTTGAGCATAGAGCGGCTTGCGTATCAAAACGGGCGTACCAAGGCAGCTGAAGGCACTTCAGAAGACCACCCACAATTTCAGAAGACCCGCGAGGGTCGCAACAATTGCCGCTTCATGCAGGAGCAGGGGGAACACAGGGAGGGGACCAGGGGGCCACAGGACGAAGGGGTCCAAATGGGATCGGGCGGCTCTGGGAGTCCCATCCAGGGGGCCAGGGGCCAACAGCGTAGGAGGAGGGGGGCCACGACAAGCTGCGTCTTCTCAGCGAAGCGTCCGATGCGCTTCCAGCACCTTGGGGCAACCGAGCTTCGACCAGACGACCAACCAGGTCACAAGACCTCCCCCATTGTGGCCCCAGACAGCAGAGAGTTCAAAAGTGCTCGTCGCCTACGGTATAGCTGCTCAATACTCGACGCCAGCAGTAAACCACGGGAAAAAGTGCCAGTGAGGCATCTTTTGAGGTTCGGCCACGCACGATAATGCCGAAGGTCATCATCATCAGCCTCCCCTGCACACCCAAAATCGCAACCTAGCAGAATCGTGTGAAGACGGCTCGTCGTGCACACACCCAGACAGGAAACCGTGAGGACACCCGTCACCAGGTGCATCGTGCTGTCCTTCTCTACTAGTCGCATCCTCTTGGCCAACTCCTGGAAATCTGCGACCGAGAAGCGGTCGGGACCCACCCGCTTGGACGCCATCTGAGCCAAGGTGCGGAGGGGAAGCGTGGGGTCTCGGAGGGGCCTCCGCCGCATGGGTGAAAGGGCTTGAGTGTCAGACGTGGCGCAAACGCATCCAGCCTCCTCCTCCCCCTCTTCTGTCCCTCTTTCCTGCTACTCCCTCATTCCTCATTCCCTCATTCCGCTCCTCTTTCCTGCTGCCACTCCCTCATTCCTGCTACTTCCTCATTCCTCATTTCTCATTCCTCATTCCCTCTTTCCTGCTACTCCCTCATTCCCTCTTTCCTGCTACTCCCTCATTCCTCATTCCTCACTCCCTCTTTCGTGCCTCCGCACTCCTCGTCCGTCATTCCTGCTCCTCCCTTCCAATGCTTTCGTGCTATGGCTCTGCTGGGGTCCTCGCGGCTGCCCCCCCCCCCGAAAAAAACACGCTCTCGCGGCAAACACTCCCGCGGCTTGGGCAGACACCGCACCCACAGTCTGGCCATCGCTCGGACGTCCATTCCCTGTGTTTTGTTTGGTTTCGTGCGTGGTTCTTTCGCAAAAATGATCAAGGATGCTCCTCGATGGTCCTCGCCGAAGGAAAAATGCACACGTCCGAGGGATGCCAAGCAGTTGATAGGGGAACTTTCCGCCAACGAGGATGCGAAGGAGAAACCGGAGGAGGACAGGAGGAGGAGGAGGAGGAGAAGGAGGAGGACGACGACAAGGATGAGAACGTCGAGGCGAGAGGGAGGACGACGGAGAGGAAGGGGGGCAGGACGAGAGAGGGTGGGGAAAGCGAAGAGGAGGATGACGAGGAAGACGAGGGGCAAGAATGCGAGGAGGACGAGAAGGTGGGGAGGACTCCACGCCAAACATGGGGGCAACCAAGTCTTGGCGCGCCAAACGCGTACGAAAGCCGCTTCCAGGGCGTCGCCCGAGACTCATGTGCGCGCGCGGTTCGCAGATCGAAGCAAATGCAAAGACACCTTCGCACGCTCGTTCGAAATGTGCAATGGGAGCTCTGCGTCGTACTCTCAGCAATGACGAATGTCGGCTCATTGCGCCCGCGCCGCTGACGAGCAAACCAATTTTGGCCGCGCACTGTGGCTTGCCACAAGGTTGCACGGCGTGCCAGACGCTAGGTGTATTTGGGTCTTGTTGAAAAACTTGGGCTACCGTATCGCATGTCGCACAATGCCGACGCCAGCTCTGCGAACTCCAAGGGGTCACTCGCCGCAGCCAAGACTGACCTGGTGCATCTCGAACAATCGGCGTGTCGACGCCGGACGCTGACCAACTCCTGTGATCCTGCCAGCACTTGGCTCACCAACACAGTCGTTGCGGTTAGAATCACATCGGTGGTGATGCTTGACGTTGCTGAGCTCGTGCCTGTCTCGGTGGTGGCTGTGGTGCTTGACGCGGAGGAGCTCCTGCCTGCATCTGTGGTGGCCGTGGTACGTGACGTGGCGGAGCTCGTGCCTGTCTCGGCGGTCCTCGTGACCGTCCTTGTGATCGTCGTGGTGACCGTCTCGGTGGAGCTGCTGCTGGGCGAAGCGGAACATGCCCGTTTCGGTGGGTGTGGGCGCAGGTGCGAACCAATACCGCGTTCGGACGCACACTTGAAAACTCGACCCTTTGGTGCAACCGTATCTTGCATAATTTTGTGACCAGATACTGTCAATCGTTGAGGTCGATGGTGATTCGGTGATCTTCGAACCGAACTTCGACACGCTTTACTTACCGCTGGTTCCGTCGGCCGGCAAGGCATGGCCGCAGGTAATATATGTAGTGGCACCCAGTGGTGCTGGTCCTCACGATGCAGCCAGAGGTCGCACCGCGTTGTTGTTGGCCCACTGCATGCCCACGACCTCCGGGCGACTCGAGGGTGCCAGCCGTACCGGACCTTGGAACCAAGTGTTACTCAACAAAATACAATAGCTCTCGCAGACGGCATCCGACCACGCGCCTGGGCGCCCTGACGGGGTGTCGTCAGACCAGGCGCGAGCTGCCACGGTCGAGTTCTGCGCACTGGGAGTTACAGCCAGCGACGTAGGTGATGGCGTATGTGGCGGGGGAGGCATAAGTGCTAGCGTCGGCGGCAGTGGCTGCGTAGGTGCTGGCGTCGGCGGCGGTGGCGGCGTAGGTGCTGGCGTCCACGCCCCGCCGCCGCATGCACAACACATATCAAAAACCTGAGAAGTCCGAGTCGTCATACCACCAGGAGCAGGACCAACTCGGAGAAGCAGTATATGCATCGCAATCCATATGATGTGTGTTTGTACCTCCGCAGTCGGTGTCCACAAAGGCACCCGTAGTCTCGCCATCGCTTGCACAACACAAATCATTGGCTTGGAAGTTCCAACCGTCATGGTACCCCAAATTCTGACACAGCTACAGGAAACAAGTATGTCGATCGCAACAGGAGCCATGCTTGCTTGTAGCTCCGCGGCCGGTGTTTGTACAGGTACCCTGCACGATGCAGGAGAGAGGCGCGAGAACGACGGCTGCGAGGAGGGAATTCATACCGAGCACGCGCGCGGGCTGGATGAGCGAATGCTGGTGAGTGGAAGAAGCGTGTGTTGAGCAGGGACCGACCGTCCCTGCATTCCTATAGTCCTGCCACGAAATGTTCTTAGAACCCAAAATGCTTTAAGAACAAAAACAATGTTCTTAGAACATTAACCCGATGTGGTAAACCAAAAAGTCCCAGCCAGATAGATTCTAAAAACGTTTCGTGGAAACCACAAAAGGTTCTTAGAACATTGCTTGGTAGGGCTATAGGCGTGCCAGGACGCTTCGCCACTGCTTGAGTCTGTGCCACTGCGGCCCGAATGGAAATACCTCGAGCTTCACCGAGCGCCCAGTGGGCCAGCCACTTAGGCGAGACCCCGTTTTGCAAAGGATCCATCATACGTTATCCGAGCCGAGAGAAGCGCTGCAGGCTCACAAATACAAGTACACATCCAGTCGGAACCTGTTTTTGAAAAGGATCTGCGGTCCGCCCAGGTAAGTGTTACACTTCTTCAGAACAGGTCTGAACACAAGATGCGGATGACTCGAGCGAGACGCAAAAATTTGAAAAAGGCTTTGCCCTTCATCCGTCTAGGCCTTGCAAAAACTGAAGCTTCTGGTCAGAGAATTTGAGGTCTCAAGTCTCAAGCGAGAGCCAATACGAACCGACGGATATGCGCGGCGCTCACGCCAGAGCCGCATGTTGAAAGCAACTGGCCTGCCAACCTTGAATATTTCAAAGCGAATGTGCTCGGCGCTAAGGCGAGAGCCGCAACAACCAGCCCTCCATCCAGTGACGGTAGGAAGCGTTAAAAACCAGCAAGCGCAAACGCTAATGCGAGAGCCACATCTTGAAAGCCACCAGCCCTGCGTCCGTGTAGCCCCGACTGACGTCCGCCGATATGATGCTTCCAGTTCGCGGCCCCAGGAAAATCCCGACCGCTTGGGCAGTGTCGCGCCCTGGATCCGTGTTTGATTGCCCTGGGGCCCGATGACGGGCCTGGGAGGCCGAAATCGGAGGAAAACGTCTGGCCTGACCAGAATCATATGCAGCCAGTTCCGGAAACCCTGCACCGAAGAATGTTGCCATCGCTTCGAGGCGCCATGTCGTACTTCCGCTGGCTGCCGGTGCCGGAGGCGACCTCGTTTTGCTTCCGCGGGCTTCCAGCTCCCGTCCGCCGCCATCCGCCGAGGAAGAGAGATGGCCCCCGGAGGCCCTCCTCCTCCTCCTCCTCCTCCTCCTCCTCCTCCTCCTCCGCCGCCTCCGCCTCCGCCTCCGCCTCCGCCTCCGACTAGGACCCGGAGGACAGACGCCCAGATGGGAAACGCCACGTCGTCGGAGATCTGAGCGTCGACACCGCCGCCAGCGTCGCCAGCGCCCCGCGGGCGCTCGCCCTGTGGCGCTCGCCCCCGGCACCTCGCATGAAACCTCTCACGGGGTGTGTTCTGACCAGGACTCCGAGGCGAAGGCAGCCGTGGCAACGAGGGCATCCCAGGAAGCCAAACAGGGTGAAGACGGCGAGGCGAAGTTTAGGGGAACAAAAAATGGCATAAACATACAAACTCCGAGGTCCGCGCGGATTTCTCGGATCGGCGCTGGACCCCCCTCCCTGGCGCGCGGAGCGCGCCAGGGGCGGCGCCGGAGGCGCCGCCGGGGGGGTCCAGCGCGGATCCGAGAAATCCGCGCGGACCTCCGAGTTTTTATGTTTATGTCATTCTTCGTTCCCCTATGTATCGGTAGCGCTTCCTCCTCGGAGTCGCCATTCCTGGAGCAGGGCGAGCCGAGCCGCGGCGCCGTCGCCGCCGTCACCAGCGCCCCGCGGGCACTCGCCCTTTGACGCCGCCCCCCGGCGCCTCCCCGTGCGCCTGCAGCCGTAGGGCCGCCTCAGAGCGCTCCGACAGCATCGCGGCCACCTGCGAGGCCAGGGCGGGCGACGTTTCGGGTCGGGTGCGGTGTGCGCTGCGGCAGGCTGGGTTCGCTCTGCAAGCTCGGAGACCTTTTCCTCCTCCTCCTCCTCCTCCTCCTCCTCCTCCTCCTCCTCCTCCTCCTCCTCCTCCTCCTCCTCCATCCCCTCTCCTTATGAATAACTCCTCCCTATCGACCCCCGAGGCTGGTCGAAAGAGCGGGCCGGGCGTTCCGCCTAAGACGCCCTCACTATTTGTGAGCCTGAAGCTCAATCATTAGCAACAGCTTCACAGATGGAGGGCCGCTTCCAAAATGTGGCTCCCGCCTTAGCGCCACACTCGTCTTAAATATTGTCAGATTTTCACGTGTTGAGGGCGGGTAGTCTTCAAAATGTTGCTCTCGCCTCAGCGCCGCGCACATCCGTTATGAAAAATGTTCAGGGCTTCACGGATTGAGGGCGGGCCGTTTCAAAATGCGGTTCTAGCCTCAGCGCCGCACACATTCGTTTCAAACATTTGCGAGAGCTTCACGGATTGAGGTCGTTTTTTTAATGCGGCTCGCGCTAGCGCTGCGCAGGCTCGTCTTAAACGTTTGCATGTGCTTGACGCATTCCAATAGTCAACGTACCAGAACAGATGTTTTGGAACGATTCAGGATTGTCAGGGCGCTACGGTTACATCGAATCGCGGTGTTGAAATCGCAGACAAAATGTTCCTGGTACGATTCAGGATCGCAAAGACGCAACAGTCAGCTTGACCCGTGGCGCTGGAGTCCCGAGGATGGTCTTATGGCGCGCTTCAGGATCTTCAATCAATTGTCCCCCAGCGGGACAGCTCCTGCAGTGGGAATGAATCCTTGCAGGGGCCTCGGAAGAGGGAGCTTGGAGGGACGGTGTATTCCAACATCGTTGGTGAGTTGTGGGTTTACCCAGGTCCTCCTCGGTCGGTCGGTCGGTCGGTCGGCAACTAAGGGATTGAATCAGAATCCCAACCGATGTGTGAGACGAGAGCGGCAGCAAAGAGAAAGAGAGCAGAGGCAGCGATCGCGGCAACGGGAAAACCTCATCATGGTGAAACAGACGCTTCCCCCCCCCATCTGTTACAAAGCCCAGTCCCATACCAAGAAGGGCCCATTTAACTGCCCAGTCCTCGTCCTCCTCCTCCTCCTCCTCCTCCTCATCATCATCCTCCTCCTCCTCCTCCTCCTCCCTGTCCTCCTCCTCCTCCTCCTCCCTGTCCTCCTCCTCCTCCTCCTCCTCCTCCTCCTCCTCCTCCTGGCGCGCACTCCGAGCCCCACGATGAGCTCCTAAAAGCGGGGGAGGACGGCGTGCGCGAGACACTCCTCCGCTGCACCCCGCCTCGTCTGGCCGAACTTGTAGGCCCGGGGGGGGGGAAGCTGCCGTCCACGAGGTTGGACAACACCTTCTTTAGGATGACAAAAAATCAACCCCGATAATAACCACACCGACACGCGAGGCCGTTTAGCAAACGCGCCCAAAGAAGGAATCGAACAGGGCAGGGCTGTTTAGTAAACGCCCAGGGGCTGTTTAGTAAACGCTAAGTGTCCTGTCCGGGTGTTTTTTCCTCCCTGAATTCTTACCCCGTTCTGTGGGGCGGCGGCAGGCGCCCTGCAACCCTGCGCCTTTCTTTGCCCTTGTGTACCCCCCACACTAGCGACACCACCAGAGTTCACGAGTACAGGACAACTCATGAGTCTGATGGACCCGGTGCGGCCTGCCTGGGCAATGCGAGACAAGCCATTCCATCGCCCCACACTTCATGGTGGGGGCGCCCTCAGCAAACAGTTGAAAGCTTATACTTGCCTTCTCGATCACTCAGTCTGTGGCCTACCTTCTCCTCCTCCTCCTCCTCCTCCTCCTCTTCCTCCTCCTCCTCCTACCTGCCCTCCTCGTCTCTGCCCTCCTCCTCCTCCTCCTCCTCGTCTCGCCCTCCGCCTCTCCTCCTCAGCGCACCGCGCTGGTTGCATTGATGTCACAGGTGGCGTTGCGCGCCTACTGGTCCTCCTCCTCCTCCTCATCATCATCAGCCTATCATTGTCATCATCATCATCATCATCATCATCATCATCATCATCATCAGCATCCTCATCAGCATCATCATCATCATCATCACCACCACCACCATCATCATCATCCTCATCATCAGCAGCAGCAGCAACAGTATCGACATCATCAGCAGCAGCAAAAGCAGCGGCATGTGCATCAGCATCAGCATCAGCGTCAGCATCATCATCAGCATTAGCAGCATCATCATCCTTATCATCTAGATAATGAGCATCATCAGCATCATCATCAGCAGCATCATAATCCCCATCGCCATCGTAACCTTCATCAGCATCATTATGATCAGATTCAGCCTCATCATCATCCTCATCAGCATCATCAACTTCATCCCCATCTCGTCACATCCTTCTCATCATCATGATCATCACAGACAGGATCATCATCTTCATGAGAATCATCATCGTGGTCATCAGATTCGTCTTCTGCATCATCATGATGATCACCATCATCGTCGCAATCTTTCTCATCAGCAGCAACATCAGCATCAGCATCGGCAACATCATTATTATTCATCATCAGCAGCATTATCATCGTCAGCGACAGCAGCGCCATAAGCATCAGCATCAGCATCAGCATCATCAGCATTAGCATCATCATCTTATCACCTGGATAATCAACATCATCGTCATCACCATCCCCATCGCCGTCGTAACCTTCATCGGCATCATCATCCTCATCATCATCATCCTCACCATCTTCGTCATCCCCGTCTCGTCGCATCCTCCTCATCACCATGATCATTACCATCATGATCATCATCAGCATGATGATCATCATCGTGATCATCATATTACTCTTCATCATCATGACGATCACCATCATCAACACCATAATCATCATCAGCATCATAATCCGCACCACCATACTGATCATCATCATCAGCAGCAGCATCAGCATCAGCATCGGCAACATCATTCTTATTCATCATCATCAGCAGCATCATTAATTCCCTCTCCTTGCGGATAACTTCTCCCTGACGCATCCCGAGGCCGTTCGAAAGGGCGGACCGGGCGTTTCGCCTGAGACTTCATTAGCATTGATGACCCTGCTGCTGAACAATTGGCAAGGGTTTCGAGGATTGTGGGCGGGCCGTTTTCAGAATGTGGTCCTCGCCCTAGCGCCGCGAAAACACGTTTAAAACATTTGCCATAGTGTCACCGATTGAGGACGGGTGGTTTTCAAAATGTGGCTCCGCCCTGGCGTCGCGCACGTTCGTTGTGAAAGATTTCAAGAGTTTCACGGATGGAGGGCGGGTCGTTTTCCAAATGTGGTCCTCGCCTTAGCTCCGCGCATATTCGTCGTGAAAAAATTGCAGGATCTTCACGGAGTGAGGTCGGGTGGTTTCCTGTAGTTCAAATAGTTGCAACAAGAGTTCCACGAATTAGGGCGGGTGGTGTTCAAAATGTGGCTATCGCTTTTGCGCCACACGCATTCATTTCGAATAGTTGCAAGAATCTCACTGGTTCTCATGGTTCACGTTCCAGGAACGGATTCTGGAACGACTCAAGATTGTCAGGGCGCAGCATTTACGTTGATTCGCGGTGTTGAGGTCCCAGGAATGCTGTCCTGACACGATTGAGGATCGCCTAGACGTAACAGTCAGGTTAAATCGTGGCGTTGACGTCCTTGGAAGGGTGGTTTGGCACGCTTCAAGATGTTCCCTTAGTTGTCCCCCAACGGAACAATTCCCTCAGTGGTAATGACCCTTGTAAGGACTATGGAGAGGGATCTTGGAGACAAGGTGTATTTCAACATCGTTGATGGGTCTTGGCTTTACACCGGTCTTCATCATCATCCTCATCCGCAACCGCATACGCATACGCATACGCATACACATCCGCACCATCCTCCTTCTTTCTCCTCCTCCTCCTCCTTCTCTTCTCTTCTCCTCCTCCTCCTCCTCCTCCTCCTCCTCCTCCTCCTCCTCCTCGTCCTCGTCCTCCTCCTCCCTCTCCTCCCCCTCCTCCTCCTCCTCCTGTCCTGCGAACCGTCCGCTCTCTGGCGCAGCGGCGCCGTGAGGCCGCTGCAGAAAGACGGCTGCCTCAGGAGGGGGGGAAGCACGCGTCGCATGCTGTTGCGTCCGCTGTGCACTTCACTGTCGAGGCGCGTTCCGCCTCTCTTCCGCCGTCAGGGCGCAGATGTTGTGTCCGCGAGCGGTGCAACACTGGCTTCGCCCTGCGCTGGGGCAAAGACTCCCGCGTATGATCACCGAGGGACTGCACTGACGCACGCGTGCGCTCTCCCATGCCTGCCACAACACGCGTGTTGCCATAGAGTGTGCGACCTCGTGCCGGTGTGCCGCCTGGGCGCATCATCTCGCGTGCGCGGGAGAACGCGGAGGAGCCGCAGGGATGGGATCAGTAGGAGGAAGAGGAGGAGGAGGAGGAAGAAAAAAGGAGTAGGAGGAGGAGGAAGCCTTGCTCGATTTTATCGACGCATCGGCACGCAGACTTCTCGACCCCCCGAGGAGGAGAAGGAGGAAAAAAGGCGTGACAGCAAGAGATCGAAGGTCTGAGCGGATGTCTCGAGTCGGCGATGGCCCCCCCCTCCCTGGCCATGGCTCGGACGTCCGTTCCCTGCTTTTTTGCCGGTGTCGTGCGTAGTTTTTGTCGCAGGAGGATCCAGGAGGCTCCTTAGTAACCCCCGGCGAGAAAGGAGTGCACACGTCCGAGCGACACCAAGCCCCTCCCCTGGCGAACGGAGCGCGCCCCGGGAGACCTCCGGGCTGGAAGGGGCAGCGCGGTGTGGGCAGCGCTGAGGCAACTGGCCGAGCCGCGGTCCTCGTCCTGCGAGGAGGGCGCGAGGCGCGCGCCACGGGGCGCGGGAGCCAAGAGGAGAGCTGCGCGGCGGCACGGTGCCGAAGCTCGTCGGCTACGCCCATGCAGCCATGAGTGGCTCCGTCGGGAAGCTGGACAGGTTCGCCGCCGCGAAAAGGCAGTGGCAAGTGTTCATAGAATGGGCTGACGGGCAGAGCGGACAGTGGAAGCCGTCCGTTAAAGGCACAAACCCGCTGCGCCTGAAAACCACACGGCCCCACCAGAGCCTGACGATCCAATCTCTTGGTGCCAAGATAAGATCAAAATGTCAGCCGAGTCCACGGTACTTCCTATCAGTGATGCTTGATTCGCCGCGCTCAGGTCGTAAGTTCCCTGCGATATGCTTGGTGGCGTTTGCGCCATATCCATCATTCCGCATGTCTGAATATGACCGTTGGCCGTCTGGTCCTCCTCCTCCTCCTCCTCCTCCTCTTCTTCGTCCGCCTCCTGTTCGTCCTTCTCCATTCCCAGTGGTCCGCGGAAGGAGCGGGGGAGACGAGGGGCTGGGAGGCGCAGAAGGCGAAGAGGAGGAGGGAGGAGAGGGAAGAACGAGGGCTGAGGGGTCGAGCTTCAATCGGTGACACATCGCCGATAGATCCACGATAGGCCCCCCGGTAGCGAATCCGCACGCTCCTGGGGCGGGGCGGGGCTATCGGGCCTCCTCCATCGGCGGCCGACGAACAACGGCAGCTCAAACCGATCCAGACGCACCAGTTTTCCGAGCTGCGTCCAGCGTCAGAGGGCCTCCTGAAGTTACCAGCCTCGAACGTATCCCTATCCCTAGGATTGACACGCCAAAAGGCGATGACAATCTTAGGGATTCGCCCTCAAAAAATAAGCGAATCCGTAAGATTGGTATCGTGATGAGAAGGTGCCCAGCATAGGGATAGTGATATGTTCCAGGCTGGTAATGAAGGTCAGGCCACCGCTGTCTCAACTCGCCCTCAGCTGAGGTGGATGACGACCGACTGGCCGACCCTGAGATCAGACGTCGCGAAAAAATGCAACATCGTGAAACATCACAAACGGAGCCCCAGATCCCACGTTTCCGCGCTTTTCTCGAGCTGGTTAGACCAGTGAGGGTCCTAAAGCCCGAAACTGGGCGAAAACGCCTGGCATGAAAAAATGCAACGCCACGATCTCAGGGGGACCAACCACCGTTATCTCAGCTCGCCCTCCTCTGAAGGAAATTGGCGGCGCGCACAGAGGGGTATGGGGGAGGGGGGATGGATCCTTGGAAAGAGGCTGCTCCTCATAGAAGGCGCCGGCCGTGCATGTATAGACAATGCTCGCGCCTTCTAAGAAGCAGCCTCCTTCTAACTGGGCATCGCTCGGACGTCCATTCCCTGTTTTTTTTCGATTTCGTGCGTGTTTTTTCCGCCCAATGATCAAGGATGCTCCTCGATGGCCGTCGCCGAGAAAAAATGCACACGTCCGAGCGATGCCAAGCTAAGAAGGCTTCCTCCCTCCCCCTACCCCTCTCTGCGCGTGGCCAACGAAACGAAGGGCGGAGGGGCGGAGGACGGAGGGGCGGAGAGGGGGGTCTGGGACTCTAGGATTCTAGGCTGGCCCCGCTCAAGCCCACGCAGGGGCACGAGGTCCAGGCAGAGGGCAGAGGAAGCAATACAGGGCAGTTTTTAATACATTGGATGTTTAATACTATAGGATGTTTAATACATGACTAATGTATGAATAAATGTATGCATGAACTCCTCGTTGTTTTTGATACTAGATCCCTGCATGTTTAAGACATGATCCGCACGCGGTGCATGCATTAAAAACGGCACTGTACCTGGTGACGCACACGACCCTGTCTAAGCACGTGGCGACAGTACCCAGGACCGCTCACTACAGACGAACAGATTGCAGGACCCGCAGGGCGCATTAGCACCCAGAAAAAAGGATCAGAAGAGCGCGGCAGCGGGATTACGGGAATAACGGCTGGGTCTGCGTACACCTCCACTCCGCTGGACCTCCCAAGAGCCAACGGGAATGTCGGCAGTTCCGCACTTCCCAGACCCCCAGGGAGCCGCGAGGTCTCAGAAAGGTGTGCGTGGCACCCCACTCCGCTGGGCTCCCAGGAGCCCACGAAAGTGGCGACAGTTGCGCACCTGCCAGCCCCCAAGGGAGCCGCGAGATATCGGAGAGGCGTGCGTGACAAGCCAATTCGCACTGCCTCGCGGAGCCCAAGTGGCGACAATTTCACACTTCGCAGCCCACCAAGGAGCCGCGAGGTCTCAAGTGGGTTCCCGTACAACTCCACTCCGCTGGACCTCCCACGAGCCCGCGAAAATGGCGACAGTTTCACATACTGCAGCTCCGCAGGGAGCCGCGAGGCCTCAACTGGGTCCCCGTACAACTCCACTCCGCTGGACCTCCCAGGAACCCGCAAAAATGGCGACAGCTTCACACTTCGCAGCTCCCCAGGGAGCCGTGAGGCCTCAGCTTGGTCGCCGTACAACTCCTCTCTGCTGGACCCGCAGGAACATGGCGACAATGTCACACTTCGCAGCCCCAAACGGAGCCGCGAGGCTTCAGCCAGGTCCCCGTACAGTTCCGCTCCGCATCGGGAGTTCGGATGGGCCCAGCCAGAATCGGCATCGAATGGGATCGATCGAGTCGAAGTGGAACCTGGAGGGGAGGGGAGGGGGCGCAGGGGAGGGCGGCGGCCTCGTCGCAGTCTGGGCTCGCCAGCGCGAGGCGGTAGAACTCCGCGGCGGCCGCGTGCTGGCCTGCTGCAGGCCAGCACGCCGGCAGCGGATGCGGACACGAGTGGGCACGACGCCGAGCAGCGAATGGGACGCAGGAGGACATACGTACTCCCGGTGGCGACGTCCGAGCTTTCCCCTCCACCACCCATCGATTCTCCTGAATCGGTGGATCGGGCCGGGCGAAAGGGGGGGATTGCAAAGGGGGGGGGTGAGAATCAGCTCACGTAGCTGATTTTCCCGGCGCCTCCCGGCGCCGGGAGGCGCCCATGTATCGAGGAATGGGCCCAGCGGCGGGGCCGAAACCAGCTGCATGCAGCAGATTTCGTAACCCCCCCTTTCCCTATCCCCCCCTTTCGCCCGGCCCGAGTGGGAGACGGGGGCAGGGTTCCGATTTCGCCACGTGTCTGACGACTTCCGAACCCTGCACCCGCCGCCTAACGAGTTGCTAGAATCGTTGATCGGCGAGGGTGGGATACGGAGTTCGCCGCGGAATGTGCGTCCGAACAGAGCATACAGTGTAAACATTAGGAGGCAACTACTGTGAGGTTATCTCGTCGGAATGATGAAGGAGGATTAAGCCCCATTTGGGAGCTGTTACGCCGGAAAGGGCTTCGGACCAAGCGGGATGAAGCCGGATTAAGCGGGATTGAGCGGGATTAATCCGGATTAAGCCGGATTAAGCGGTATTAAGCCAGATTAAGCGGGATTTCGGACCAGGGCTAAATCAGAATTTGACCTCCCAGGAGTTGCATCCGAAGTTTGGGTCATGCCGAGCGAACGTTGGCCAAGACCGACGGCGGCCGATGTTTGAGGGGCAACCTTAAAGAGGGGGGGCGACAATGACGACGGCAACGACGGACCACGACGACGGACGACGAGCGCCGCCCGCAAAGGGAGCGGACAAAGATGGGCACGATGCCCGATAGCGATGAGGGGCAACGTTCGGGGGATATGCTCGAGGCTTCGAGGTTGAAATTCGTCGTTTCTCGACGGGTTTCCAACCTCGGGATGAGTTCCAGCGGCTGCGCCTCGCCGAGGTCGTTCCGGGCGTGCTCGGATGACCGCCGAGCCGAGTGATGACCCGAAGACCCCAGGGACAACGTCAGGGAGGATAGGATCAGGGGGGGGGCATCGACCCCCAATCGACTGGGGTTCGCCAACAGGGGCCTGATAGACCACCCAATCAACACTGTGTGGATTTGCTATCGGGGGCCTCTCGCCGATCTATCGGCAATTCAGGGGATTGAAGGTCCATGTTTCCGCCCCATCAGCTGGTCACCCCCTAACGTTGCACCTCAAGCGAACGTTGTCAAAAACCGACAGCGGCCGCTGTTGGGCTGGTGACTTCTGTTCTCAGATAGGCAACACCCGCGGCGAAGACCGACAGCGAGTCCTGTTTGAAATCGACCAGACATGCGAGGCGGGATTGTTCATAACCATCGCCTCTTGAATCATCTTCGCGGACGTCGGCGGGCGGTGTATATAGATATGTGTCCGCCCCCCCCGGGCCCGAATATATCCACATCCACCGCCCGCACGCCGACGTCCCCGAAAATGATCCCCAAGGCGGTGGTGGTGGACAAATCCCCGCCTCACGGTTCTGACAGAATTTCGAGGCGAATCCAGCCGTGGTGACCAGAGCCGCCAAAGAGGCCAAGAGGGCGGAAACGAGGTAAGGGCGGAGGCGGCGGAGGTATTGGTCCCTTTTCCTCCTCTGACGCCCGACGACACATAACGATGGATGACGCCGACAGGCCGACCGACCGACCTACGGCGCCGCCCGCGACGACCGACCGACGGCGGCGACCGATTGACGACTTGGCGGCGCGCACAACGGAATGACAACAGGGGTTGGAGTACCATGTGGGACCTGCTCTAGAACAGGAATATACCGTTGACGGATCTACCCTTTCTCTCTTCAACGTTGCAATGCGTCGAACGCAACGGCGGCATTGCCTTCTAGGAGCAGGTGAACATTGCCGTCCAAGCCAGGGGGCGGGCTTTCAAGAAGGTTGGCGGACCAGGAAGTTTCTCAGAAGCCCTCCGGGCTTGCAAGAAGGCCTCCAGGCCCTCCTAAGACGGACCCCGCCTTCTGAGAAGCACCCCCATTCTTAAAAGCGCCCCTCGCGCCGCCCTCTTGTACGCGCCGCCAATTGACGGCAGCTCAAAACCAATCCCCAAACCCCTCCCGATGCCCAAACGCACGAGTTTTCCGAGCTGCATCCAGCCTTGGCGACGAGGGGCCCTCCGGAGGCCAACTACCGTTGTCTTAACTCGCCCTGCTCAAGTATTGATGACGACCGACCGACCGACCCTGAGAGCCAACGTCGTGAACAAAAATGCAACATCATGAAAAATCACGACCGGAACCCTAGACCCCATGTGTCTACGGAATTTCGCGAGCTAGATCGATCCGTCCGTGAGGGTCCCATGAGGGGCAACGATAGGAGGGAGCAGGCAGAGGGGGGGAAGCATCGACCTCGAATCAGCGATATATCGCCGATAGATCGGCGATAGGCCTCCGTTAGTGAATCCGCAAGTTCCTGAGCAGGTTGGGGCTATCGGGATCACATCGGCGATGAATGGGCGATTGGGGGTCGATGCATCCCCCACTATGCCTATCCCCCCCTATCGTTGTCCCTGATCCCATGGCCCGTAACTGGGAGCAAACACTGGTATTAGGCGGTGAGCAAGGGGGAGAAGTGAGAAGGGGCGGGCCTTCTCAGAAGTCTTGGAAGTCCCCTGGCCTTCTGAGAAGTTTTCCAAACCAGCCCCGAAGACACCAAAAAACTTCTCGGAAGGCGCGAGGACTTCTGAGAAGTCCCGCCGCCTTCTGAGCAGGCCTTCTGCTTCTCATTCCCCCCCCTCGCTCGCAGCCGACTTATGCTGACTGAAAGCGCCTGGATCTCAGGAGACCGACCGAGGGACAGACCGACCGAGCGACGGGGACTGAGTGGAGAAGAGGGCGCGCCCGCCCGACCTCACGCAGGAAACCTGCGCTCGAAGATCGGTTCAAATCGACCCCGACCCTTCCGCCATTCAAACACATCGACGTAAATTCAGAGATCTTCCTCCTCCTCCTCCTCCTCCTCGACCTCGACCCTTCCGCCTTTCAAACACATCGACGTAAACACCCCGACCATTCCGCCTTTCAAACACCTTTTTTTTTGATTCGCGGGTCGAGAGCGCACCTCTTCCGGTCGAAGCCAAGCGGGCCGCGCGAAGCTTGACCTAACAAAGAGGGGGGAAGGGAAGGAGCGCAGCCTCACTGCGAGGCCAGGGAGGCCTCGCCAAGATCTCAAGAGATCTCCAGGGAAAGCTGGAAGAGACCGTGAACGCTCCACCGCGAGTCGAGGGACAGCACACGGCGTTAAGCCTCGGACACGCGTCAAGCCCGCGCCGCGTCGCCTTCGTCAGGGCCAGTCTTTAATCCCGAGTCGTTGTTGACGGTCCCGAGGCCCAGCGAAGGCGCTCAGAGGCCGAAACCACTGTCGAGATTTTTCCACGACGCAGTCATATGTCTGGGAATTGATGACGACGACTGGCCGACGAACCGACCGACGGACCGACCGACGGCGACGACCGACATTTTCAGACGTTCGCGCCCGATCCTCGTCGTTTCGTTTTCCAGTCACAGCACGGGTCTCCGGCGGCCGTTGGAGACGACCAAGGCAATGCCAGCGACCGACGACGCCGCCGTCGCCGACCACGACGGCGCGCGACACCGACGAGATCCAGCGAAGACGTCCGACAACGTCGGCTCGGTCGGTTCGGGCGTTGTCAAAGGTGCCCCTGGCCCAAGGTGCCCCCAGCTGTTCACTGCACTTTGGAGCCCCTGGGGGCCCTCTGGGCCTCGCGAGGGGCTCTGTTCGGGCGTTGGCAGAACTGGGTCTAGTGGAACCTGATTTATTGATTTGTACCGGGGGCGCCCCCCCGCCCCATTTCCACTAACCCGAACTGCCGTCACCCGAAAAACACCAGTTACGGCAAACCTGGTTTAGTGAATCTGGCCAAATGAGGGGCCCCAGGGCCCTACCACTAACCGGGTCCCCTTACCCGGGGTCCTGGCTATACCCGATCTGTGGAGGCCGTGCGGCCTCCTTCAAAACCCTGGGGGCACCTCGGGCCAGGGGCACCTCTGGCAGGTTGAGCAGGGACCGACCGTCCCGGCATTCCCACACGCCTACCACGGAATGTTCTTAGAACCCGGAAATGTTCTAAGAACAGCAACAATGTCCTTAGAACATAAACCCGATGAGTTAAAAAACAAGACGATATCAACCAGAAATGCTCTAAGAACAGTTCGTGGAAGGCCCAAAAGGTTCTGAGAACATTGCTTGGCAGGGCTATGGGCGAGCCAGGACGCTTCTCCACTGCTTGAAGCAGGACCCGACCGACCCTGAATGACGGCGACCGGCGGAGCCCGCCGGCTGCGACCACGACGGCCCGCTTCCCCCCCGGCGGCCTTCCGCCCGCGCGGCGTCGCCGGCGGCCCGCGCCTCCGCGAGCAGTGGGCGCCAGCAGCTCGTGCCAGGCCCGCGCGTGCGCACGCGGAGGTCGCTGGGGCACTCGGCGTACACGCCGCGGAGGCCTCTCGGGGCGCCGCAGAGCGGGCTCTCGCGCGGGGGGGCAGCACGGCACAAGACAAACTGTTCCGCCGGCGGGGACGCCCGCCACGGGGCGGCTGGAAGGATCCCCCCCTGCGCTGCCCTGGGGCAGTCGTCTCCGACGGCGGAAAATGTATGTTGTACCGTTGTCCGTCCCCTGACCCTTGCGTTACTTGAAACGCGTTCAAGTTGTAGCCCCGCCGAACAATCGCACCCCCTGCGAGGAAAAATGGTGACACGGAACCCAGAGCCGCGCAAGGACCAACCTGCAATAGGCTTGGCTTACGCAGCAAAACGGGGCGAGACCATAAAGAGAACGAGGCCGAGGCCGAGGAGGGAGAAGGGGGGCAATTTACGTAACAGGTGCAAGTTCCACGCGTGGAAGCGGGAATGGCAGTTCCGTCCCCACTTTCGCCTCGAGTGGGAAGGTCGCTCTCGATCAAGGAACTTGGTCTGACCTGCGAGCCTGGTGGACCTAGACGACACGCAATTTAAGTGTTCAGGCAACTGACACGTGAGCGACGATCAAGCACGAGTCTTACGCGAGATGGCATAGCGACCTTACACGGTGACTTACGCGGGCCGCCAGCGCGGCACGCCATAATGAAGACGAGGGCGCGCACGCGCGACCTTACGCGGGCAGCTTGCGCGCCTCTGTCGGCGAAGACTGGTGAAACCAAAAGGTACCGACACCGCTACTCCCTGGACCTCTCCCGGGGCGCGTTCTGACCAGAATTTCGAGGCGAGTCCAGCGGTGGCGATGAGGGTCTCCCAGGAGGCACAAAAAGGGGAAAACGATGGAAGTGTAGCGGTATCGGTACCTTTCCCTCCTCTGAAAGGCGACCCCGTTTTGTTGTGTCGACTGCCCACATCGCTGCGCTGCTCGGGTTCCAGACTGACATCACGCGGCCTCGGCGGTGGACAAACCTCCCTTTCGTAAACCTCCCTGTAAAGAAGACGACCCGGGACCGAAACCGACGGATCTGGACCCGCAAAAATGACGGCCGCGACGCCCCCTCGTGAATCGAAAACGGCCAATTCACTGATCGACGTGTCAGGATAGGATTGTGGATGCCACGACAAGGACACCCTAACAGTCCTATCATCGAATTAGAAATGTGTTTCAAATGTAGGAACAATATCCTGAAAATGTTTGATTTGTTTGCAGACTCAAAACAAATTTAACACATGTTTTAGACATCTGGAAACTACTTGACAATATGCTTCCTCTCCATTGATCGGAAACGGAAACGGAAAAGGAACTCCTGTGCGGGCATGCGCCCGGGCCCCTCAAGGGCGAGGCGGGTTAGGCCATGGCCTCGCACGAGAAGCTGCGCGCGTCGGGGGTCTGCTCAGGACAGTGCGCACTTCAGGAGCGGACTTCCCGACAGTCCACACTCGTCCGCTTTCTCATGTCGGGAGCGGCCAAGAGGGGGGTGTCCAAGAGGGGGGTGCAAATCATGACCGGCGGCATGTGCGCGGCCCAGCGGGGGGGCCAGGGACGTCATGAAACAAGAAGAGGCGACATGAAATCTGGGGAAATATCATGGCCCACGCCATGCTATCCATCCCCCCCTAGTCATCACCCCCCTCTTTTCCGCCCCCGATCATGAGGTAGTTGGCGGCGCGCACAAGGGGGTGGAGGGAGGGGGGAGGGCTTCTTTTAGAAGGAGGCTGCTTCTTAGAAGGCGCCGGCCTTACATCTATAGATAAGGCCCGCGCCTTCTAAGAAGCAGGGGTGCTTCTAAGAAGCCCTCCCCCCTCCCCCCACCCCCCTCTGCGCGTGGCTGAGGCAGCCACGTCGCCTCGTGGGGATCGTAGGAGGCCTGCCCACACCCCCGACGGCCCCCGTGCGCGGCGGCCCTCGGCCGGCCGCGCGCCCCCGCGGCCCCCCCCCCGCGGGCGGAGCGCGGGGTCGAGCAGCCGGGGCAGCCGAGCCGTCGGGGGCCCTCCCAGACCGAGCCCGCGGCCAGGTCATTTGGCGAAAAAGCCACGCACGAAGCCGAGCAAAAAGCACAGGGAATGGGGCCGTTCCTAGGGGAACCAGGAGTTGGCAAAAACATAACAACTCGGAGGTCCGCGCGGATTTCTCGGATCGGCGCTGGGCCCCCCCGGCGGCGCCTCCGGCGCCGCCCCTGGCGCGCTCCGCGCGCCAGGGGGGGGCTCCAGAGCGAGACCGCGGCCAGAACGGCTCGACGACTCTTCGCCACTCACCTCGCGGGGATCAAGCCAGACAGATCGAGGTAGATCTCGACGAACCGATGCACACGCAGACGCATCGAGGGAGCTCCCAGGATGTGCATGCAGACCTGGGGAACAGAAAAATTGCAAAAAAACATAACAACTCGGAGGTCCGCGCGGATTTCTCGGATCGGCGCTCGGGCCCCCCCCCTGGCGCCGGAGCACCGCGGAGGCAGGGAGGGAGGACGGCGGCCGCGGGGGGGCTGAAACAGGGCGAGGCAGTCCGATCGTCTAGGGCAACTATCTTCGCGCTCCGCGCTCCGCGGAGCGCGAGGCCCAGTCATCTTCGCACTCTCGCGCCGAACCCCCCCGGAACAGGATGAGGGACTCGCGCCACGCGTTGAGATCGCCCAGGCCGCGAAGCGCGACTAACTTCGCACCCTTGTGGCCCTAGGATCATGAAGAGCTTTGCGCCAGTGCTGCGGCCCCGGCTCCGGGGCTGCTCGATACGACCCTGTCGAGGCACAGGGGGCGGGATCCGAGCCGACATCAGAGGCCGCCCAGATGGTGTCGCGGCAGATGTGGTCCGAGGATCGTGCCGCATCGTCGATGTTTCAGATATGCATCGGAGGTGGATCGGCAACGTCGGCGATGCATCGGCGACGCCGGCGTGGACTAAATCGTACTCCACATCGAACCGCATCGCCGTTGTATCCGCGGTGCGGCGCGATGCTCCGACCCCATCAACTCGGACCCGACCCCATCAACTCGGATCCAAAAGTTGGGCAGGTGCCGAGGTCGCATATTCAGCGGGAGGCGGTGGAGAATGACAATGACGAAGAGGACGAGGAAGGGGAGCAGGGGGGCAGAGGTGGGAGGAGGAGGAGGAGGAGGAGGAGGAAGCGCGAGGAAAATGAGGACCGTGAGACCCGAACCTACGGAACACTTGAACACCGCGAGAAACCACGACCGGAGCCCGGGGCCCCCACTTTCTGCGCCACTTCTCGAGCCGCAACGATCTGTGCATGCCCGTGGAAAAATGTCCACGGCAAGAGTTCAGGGGCAGGCAGCGGCGCCCGGCGCCCGGCGGCGGCGGCCCGGCTCGCCCCGCCCCGCGCAGCCGTCGCGGGTGATGGTCAGGAGGGGCTCCAAGACCGTGAGGCGCGCGCCGCGTGGGAAGCGGGCTCGCGCCAGGGCGGCGAGGTGCCGCCCGCGGCATCCTCGGATGGGGGGGGGAGGCGGGTGCGCCTAACCTCCCCCAAACCTCCGCATGCTTGGCCAAGTAACTTCTCGGTATTAGTCGCGATAACGCGCGTGACTGACCCCGAGCCCCCCTTCCACCCCCTGCATGTCACCCGTCACGAGTCGCGCGGGCGCCGTATGGGAACGAACCGTTCCTAGACGGCGCCAAGCGCGTATCGTCACGTGACTCTGCTTGCCTCCCCCCTCGTCACGCCCCTTATCACCAAGGGATAATAAATGGTGCCACGGCTCGAGGCCGAGGAGGACTATGACGAAATAGAGGCAGGCAGGCAGGCAGGCAGGCAGGAGGACAGGCAGGCAGGCAGGCAACCAATCGGGCAGGAGCCTGGCCCAGCGCGGGGCTGCAATGGTGGGCGCCGCGGTGCCCCAGTACACTACACTAGCCTCGCGAGAGCCTCTTCCAGACGGCACCATGAACCTGCGTTATCAACGCGAGCCAGCCATCCAGGCCGCTCAGCATCATGATGAAGATGAAGAAGAAGGGGGGGGGCTGAAGCAGAGCAGGAGGACGACGATAACGACGAGGATGTCCACCGGAGCGACGCGCTACGCAGACCCAAACACTGAACCTCGGTGCTTCCTGGACGTTGTTCACTCCGCAACTGCCAACACTTTCGTCAGGCTCGCCAGGCCCGGGCGTTGGTCCCTCGCCTCCCAAACCTCATGGGGGAGGGAGGAGGGGGAGGAGGAGGAGGAGGAGGAGGAGGAGGAGGAGGAGGAGGAGGAGGAGGAGGAGGAGGAGGGAGGAGGAGGAGCAGGAGCAGGAGCAGGAGCAGGAGAGGAGAGGAGGAGGAGGGAGGAGGAGGAGGAGGAGGAGGAGGAGAAGGAACCGTGCATGTTTCGCCGTTTTCGGCCTCCGGGTGCCCTCGCCGGGCCGGGTGCCGCCCGCGGCATCCCGGGGGGGGGGGGGAGGGGGGGGGGGGGGGGAAAAAGACGAGTCACTGACTCGCTCACTGCAGGGGGTGACTGACTCACCGGGGGGGGGGGGGAACATCGACCTGGCATCGGGGAATGTCTCGGATGGGCCTCGCGGGCCGCGCAGGGCGGTCCAGCGCCGATCCAAGAACAAGGAGAAGCAACACATCACCACAAGAGGACGGAACCAGGGGGGTGGCGTGCTGGTGGTGTGGTCCACTCTCCCTGCTCGAGACATCCCTTTCCCCAGCGCGGAGAGGCATCGTGGACCTCCTCGCTGGAGGACGAATGTCGTGAGATGATGTCTTCATCTCGGCAAGTGCTTTCTCTCGACAAGCCTTGGCCCTCCAGGAGACGAGCAAGCCTGGAACTGGCCTCGGTGTCTCACAGCTCTGGACCAAAAGTCGACGGTGAAGCGACAAAGGGGATATACAACATCGTGCAAACCACATGTTCGCATGGTGTTTCAAATTTCACATATATGTGTATGTCGTGACATATCGGGCGTGGGTGTCATGTTCGGTTTCTGTCGCGAGAATGCTTATGCTTGAAACCACCACCACCCCCATCCAACCTCCATGTGCTAAATGACAGTTTTTTACGTTCGATGCTGAAATACATCCTGTGCGACATCACTCTGTGCAAAATGCGGCGATTTGACAACCTATAGGCAACTCTCGGTACGGCGCTTTGAAGCCCATATCTTCCCACAGCGGCTCTAAAAACCCTACCACATCTCGCCGCCTCCCATTCTAGAAAATACGGAAGAACGATGAAACATGGTCTCGTGCGACGATTGTACTGGGAAGCCGAACTTCGGCGTAGACCTATACAGTCGATCCCGCTCGTGGACCGAACGGACTCCTTGAAGCTTTCAATATGTTCCTTGCGGCACTCTGCGTACAACCAACAAACTCAGAACCGGTGCGTCATAGCACTTGGCCATGCCAGGTGGATCTGATACGGATGAGCATATGAGACGGCGAGGCGGGATGATATATATATATATATATGTATATCTATGTACACGTACATGTATCTAGCTGATGGCTGTGAACGACATTGAAACAAAGAAGAACTTCCAGCTCCATCTCCGCACGTCGTCCTTATTGAGTTCGATGCCCAGCGCCACTGCGCCGCATCTTGTCCAGCTCTCAAGTTTGATATTGAAACGCCAATTTCGTCGCATCAATCCCCTCAGAAACAGCCCCAGCATTGAGCAACTCGAAATTCCTCAAAGAGTACTGGGGCCATCATTTTTGAGTTCACAATGCAGTTTGACACCAGGCTTTTGCTGCGTCCATGAGTGGAACGATGCGTCTGCCAGTTCGCCGCCCCATGGCAGTCCCATGCCAGTGCCCAGCACGATCTTAAACGTGACGTCGTCCACTGCTTCTGGACAGATCAATTAATTCCTGGGGATTGCAGCCGTGAGAATTTGAGAATTTGTTCCGGGAAAACGAATACTTTCGACGATTCTGCCACCCATTCATTGTGGGCGCCGCTCGCATGATAATCCAGCGCGTCAAACAGCACGAAAGCGTCATCTTCTTCAATCGTTTTCCCCTGTAACTCGCCCACCAAATCTTTGCTCTCACGCGACGCGCGTTTCGACCCAACGAATTTTGATTTCAGCGCGGCGGCGACGCGCTTCATTCCGCCCGTCGTAAGATGATCGGCGCTCGCGCGCATGGGGCGTAGAGTGACTTCCCCGTCTGGCTTGCGCATCTCACCTGCATGCCTGAGGACCGACACAGTCTCATAATAATTAGCTATTCCTCGCCCAAGACAGCATTGCACTGCAGGACAATTGGCCCCCCAAGAATCCCCCCGCCTCCGCGGCGCCCCCTTCGCAGTCGAGAAACTGCGCGCGAGGCGCATCACACGCGCGACAAATTTCCAAACATTCCCGGTCACGGAGAACACCGGCGCTCTCGCGGGCGAGGGATTACTTGCGCACCAAGCAACGCCCCCATCCTTATCAATAGGCAACGACTCCAATTGCGCCGCGGATGAGAATGAACAGCGCTACGCGGCGAATGCTGGCGGCGTCAGAATAGCAGCGCCTTCGGCGAGAAGTCGCGCCCCCAGCGAAGCGGCATGCATGCAGCATCCCGCGCGCAAGGCGCCGCCGAAAGGCAACCGTCTTCGACGGCGCGCCGCAGGGGCGCGCCGGCGCAACCTTCAATAATTTAGGCCGCAACGTCCACCACCCACTACTCTCGCTGCCTTGCTAAAGCATGGACCGACGTCGCTCGCGGTAAACAATGCTGGGGGCGCAGCCAACAGATGGCAAATCTGGCGCGCACGGCGCGCGAAGAACACGCCCTCTGCAAAGAGACAGCATGAACTCAATCGGTCATCTGACCACGCCTGTTGCTGAGCGGCGTGCAATCTTGACATTCGGATCCCAGATGCAAATTTGGACTTTGCCTCCCGCGATACTGGGGCAACTCAAAGCCGCGCATGCACAGTTCCCCCACCATGATCCAGCATATGATTCCCCCTCCTGGCCGCGCCCGCCCCCCTGACTGGCCCCCCGCCCCGTGGCGCGCGCTTCCCTGCGTTGCCACCTTTGGGGGGACTCTGCGGCGCGAGCTTCGGTTGCCCTTTGGTTGGTGCTCTGACTCCAGTGGCGCCATTGCCCTTTTTTCCCATGCCTCTGTATCCGCATGTTCCTCTTTCCTCTTCATCTGGTCTGTCTTGCCATTGCCTTCGTTATTGCCTTTGCTCTCGCCTTTGGTTTCGGATTCGGACGCGCCTTCGGGCCCCGCCGCTGCCGGCGGGCTCGGCCTGTCTGCTGGCTTCGAACCGCTCTCGATCGCGCCCTCAGCCACGACGCCGCCATCGAAAAAATGTCTGCAAAATAAAGACCAGAGAAACGCCCAGAAGAGCTTGGGATGAGAATCGGTCGACGCCGTCTTTTGCGGCAGCGGATCCTCTACCTTTGCCGCGAGACGCCCACCCCCGCGGTCGTTCACGCGCGCGTTGGTCGACGGTCATCTAGGCGAACTCATCGGGGGTCTTCTTCGCCGGCTCATTCATGGATAAGCATTTCCTCCAAGTGCGCCTCTTTGTCTTTACCTCTTGCGTCTTCGATGGCAGTCGCGCGTTATGCCGCCTGTTTGCAGATCGCGGCCACTTCGAACCCCCAGGCATCTTGCCGATGCCGGCAAGGGATACTCGATCATCATCGCTGCCCAACCCTTTTGCCACCCACGCCTCCTGTTGTGAATCCGGCAAGAAAAGGCATTTCTCTACAACATTAACCTTGTTGCGTGCGAGCGGAGTCCGGCGCGTTGTCTCTCCGAGATTACCAGGTCAATCATTGTGCGGGCGCGCCGCGTCGTTCCATGAACCATGGCGCTGGCCTCGCGAGTCCTCTTCCCTGGATCCATTTGGACAGTGGATTGCTGTCAAACTTTATCGCGTCCAAGAGCGGGGTCTCAAAAAGGATCGGCGCGCGTCGTGCGCCAGCTGCCAGTGGAAGGTCAGTTGCCTTTGAATTCTCGAGCTTCTCGATGATCTCCTTCGTGGGACTCGCTTCCCTGTTTGCGATGTGCAGCGGTTGGATCTTCGATGCCAGCTAATTGGCTCACTTCTTCGCGCGCTTCGAGATCATTCGACGCGCTGCGGCGCCTAGCCGATTCCCCACCGAAGAACGCATGTCATCGGTGAGGTTCGGGCATGAGGTTCTCGGCGCCGGATCCGGTCAGCTGCCGCATTGCGACCTGCCCCGCGAAGCTGCGCCCGCGGCAACCGCCGCCGCTGCGCGGGGGCCGGCGCCATGCAGATGCAGGAGAAAGACCTCCCCTTCTTGTTTATTTAGGGTAGCTGAGGGGCTCCTACCGCGGATGCGCCATCGTCCGAGACCGAGTCGCCCATCGCCCCGAACAAGTATAATACCAAAGCGAATGCCAGAAGATTCTCTATATCGGCAAACGCATTTTCTCTAAAAGTTCTGGGCCTCCTCGAATCTAGCAGGCCTGGAAATTGCCTCGGTGCTTCAGCGCATTGGGCCACGTCTCTACGGAACAGCGAG